TTTGTTAGTATTTTATCGGGAATTTTTGTATCCATGTTCATCAGGGAGATTGGTATGTAAATCTCCTTTTTAGTGGGTTCTTCATCTGGTTTTGGAACCAAGGTAATGCTGGCCTCATAGAATGAGTTTGGAAGTTTTCCTTCCATTTCTATTTTTTGGAACAGCTTCAAAAGAATAGGTGTTAACCCTTTTTTAATGTTTGGTAGAATTCCCCTGGATAGCCATCTGGGGGGAGGAAAACTCTAAGAGACTCTTAAATACTGAGAACAAACTGAAGGTCGATGGGGGGTGTGGAGAGGGGAAAGTGGGTGATGGGCATTGAGGAGGGCACCTGTTGGGATGAGCACTGGGTGTTGTATGGAAACCAATTTGACAATAAATTATAAAAAAAAATATGATCATAGGGGAAGGGAAGGAAAAATAACATAAAAATAGGGAAGGAGGCAAACCATAAGAGACTTAAAGACAGAGAACAAACTGGAAGTTGCTAGAGGGGAGGTGGATGGGGGGTGGGTTAGATGGGTGATATGTATCAAGGAGGGCACTTTTGGGGATGAGCACTGGGTGTTATATATAAGTGATGAATCACTGGGTTCTACTCCTGAAACCAAGACTACACTGCATGTTAACTAGCTTGAATTAAACACATTTAAAAACAAAAATTGAGGTCGCCCATTGCAATGGAAACTTTTGCCTTTATTTCTGCATCCTTTTCTCTTATGTTTATTCAAGCATCCATTATTTTCTCTATCCTCTCGGACTTTCTCTCCAGTCTTCTTTCAACTTAAAAGATAAAATTATAAATCATATGTGGGTGTACACATCTGATTGAGCTTACTTGAAAAAAAAAAAGTATATGCTCACAAACACATAAGACACAACCACTACACTTCAATGCTTTCTTTGGAGCAAAAAATTAATTTCCATGCATTTCATTCTTGCCTTACAAGATTCATAGGAAGTTATGTTTAGCTGTATACTTTAATACAGATTATTGAGCGTCATTATATGCTAATAATTTAATTAATAGGGAAACTCTCTATGGTGCAGGGCTATGGGTAGGATTGAGAGCACAGAAGCTGTCCATTACAGGTTTGGGAGATAGCTTCTAACAGCGAAGGAAAACAAGTGTTAAGGCAGTGGAATTAAATTCAAAGAATACACATGATTGGGAATGCAAGCTGGTGCAGCCACTCTGGAAAACAGTCTGGAGGCTCCTCAAAAAACCAAATAGAACTACCCTACAACCCAGCAATTGCACTACCAGGCATTTATCCAAGGGATACAGGTGTGCTGTTTCGAAGGGGCACATGAACCCCCAGGTTTGTAGCAACACTATCAACAACAGCCAAAGTATGGAAAGAGCCCAAATGTCCATTGATGGATAAATGGATAAAGAAAATGTGGTATATATATATATACAATGGAGTATTACTTGGCAATCAAAAAGAACAAAATCTTGCCATTTGCAACTACATGGATGGAACTGGAGGGTACTATGCTAAGTGAAATTAGTCAGAGAAAGACAAAAATTATATGACTTCACTCATAGGAGGACTTTAAGAGACAAAACAGATGAACATAAGGGAAGGGAAACAAAAATAATATAAAAACAGGGAGGGGGACAAAACAGAAGAGACTCATAAATGTGGAGAACAATCTGAGGGTTAATGGAGGAGTCACGGGAGGGGGGATGGACTAAATGGGTAAGGGGCACTAAGGAATCTACTCCTGAAATCATTGTTGCACTATATACTAATTTGGATGTAAATTTTAAAAAAATAAAAAATTAAATTAAAAACAAGAATACACATGATAATTTCACTTAATTTATAAATAGAAGAATAACTTACATATAAAAATGTAGTAAATTTATACACACAATGGAATACTACATGGCAATGAGAAAGAATGAAATATGGTCTTTTGTAGCAACATGGATGGAACTGGAGAGTGTCATGCTAAGTGAAATAAGTCATACAGAGAAAGACAGACACCATATGTTTTCACTCTTATATGGACCCTGAGAAACTTAACAGAAGACTATGGGGGAGGGGAAGGGGGAAAAAAGTTAGAGCAGGAGGGAGGCAAACCATAAGAGACTCTTAAAAACTGAGAATAAACTGAGGGTTGATGGGGGGTAGGAGGGAGGGTGGGTGGGGGTGGGCATTGAGGAGGGCACCTTTTGGGATGAGCACTGGGTGTTGTATGGAAACCAATTTGACAATAAATTTCACATTTATAAAAATAAAAATAAAAATTTAGTAATAAGATTATAAATTGGTTGAAGACAGAAGAGCACTACAACCACACACAGCATCATCGATGAGCCTTAGAAACACAACAGAGAGATTCACACCCGACTCTAGACTTATAAGGAGCCCAGCAGAGTTCAGAAATGCTTCCAAGAATATAATGCCGTTTGACTGTAAAGCTATTATTGATGAGAAGAACAAAAGCAAGAGAAATGTAGCTAAAAGTCAATGTCAACTTGCAGCCCACTGATAAATCCATAAGACATGTAAAGTGTGACACTTCTACAGGAACTCATGGCTGCCTTCATGTTTATGTTTTATTAGAGATTGACAGCAACCTTATCTTGAAAAGAGCCAGACCACCAAGGTTCTGTCAACCTCACTTTCAGCTTACAGAAATTCCTTAGAAACTTCCTTATCTCTACTCCCCCTCTCCACAAACTTAAAAGTATATCATCAGTCACTCTTCACATTCCAAGTGTAGCTCTTTCCGCCCACAGATTCTGTCCACAAGCTATAATAAAAGCATATTTTTGCACCATAAAATGTCTCAAGAATTCTTTCTTCACCATTGTGCTTGGTGACCTCGCATCATCATGATATCCTGTTTGACGAGGAGGACAGCCTGTTATATAGCAATAGCTGACTGACACAATAATCCAAGTGAACAGACTGAGGTGATCAGAACATGTGCTGCTTTTTATTTGTGACATATGATTTGACAATCAAGGAGAGCAGCCATGATCATCCTGAGATGCAAGTTTACTTCCCATGACTTTATGAACAAGTGACTACATGTGGGCTCCCCTCAGGGTTACTGGGAGAGTTTGAAGGACATGCACATTTGTGCAGAAGAACTGGGGACCCTGAGCCACACGCCAGCAGGACATCCAGCTCTCGTGTGAAGCATCCTCTGGTCATGCAGGTGGGAGAGATTTCAGGGCAAGATGGAGGTACGAAATGGATGATGTTGATGGTGTTCATTTGGATCCCTTAGCATTTATGACATATATTAAGAAAAGTTATTTCATGTAACACCATAAAGAGTCACATTAGCAGGTAACATTGGAAGTTCTCAAGTAGGAACAGGAAGAGAATTCAGTGATAAAACATAGAAGACATTAAGCAATCCTGTACCTCAATGAATAAGCCCCCTCAGTTGTGGACACGAATCTTCAATACATAGATGCACAGCGTGAACTCTGATGGTAAAGGAAAGGAAAGGAAAGGAAAGGAAAGGAAAGGAAGGGAAGGGAAGGGAAGGGAAGGGAAGGGAAGAAAAAAAAGAAAAGAAAAAAGAAAAAAAGAAAAGAGAAAAGGAAAAAAATAAAAGAAAAGAAAATTTTGTTTAGTTACAAAATGCGTGTTCTGAAATTTGGCCTCATATTTATGTCATCCTGACACTAAGAAAATAACAGGTTGATCTGTTTATTCAAGTGTGTCTTTCCCCGAAGACTCGACTGGGAGTTACCTTATGCTAATCAGGTTTGCCAGTGGCTATGGTAGGCTCTCTGGACACCGAGCTGAATAACAGAATAAACCAGAAGACCGGTTATGAAATACAGTAGCATGGTAAGAGTAAGTGCCTGAAATTGAGCTTTTGATTTCTGAGGCATCCATTTCAAAGACCACCATGTTGAATAAATATACTGTCAGGTGTGTGATACAATTACTTAGACTGCCCCAGCCATGAAGTACCTGTTTAGAAAGCCCTGGCGAACTCAAATAACTTCCCATGAATCAACCTGCTTTTCCCCTTCAGTAGTCAAAATCTACTCATATATAATTGTCCACTAAGGTGTGAGACACAAAACCCTAGTCACTCTGGCCATGGACCTCAATAAACCAGATGCCTCAGCAGTGCTATCTCTCTCTCTCTCTCTCTCTCTCTCTCTCTCTCTCTTTCTCTCTCTCCCTCCCTGTCAATGTCTCCCTCTCCCACTGACACCTCCCCAAATGGCCTTAGGGTGTCCCACGTGCTCTCCAGGATCCCTGAGTAATAAACGTTGCATTTTTAGAGTTCTCTGATGAGTGTTCCTGAGGTGTTTCTTGTGCTTACAATAAGAACCCAAGGGCCAGTGCAGTCACAGCATAGGCTGCCAGGGAATGTGCATGGGAATGTCCACAAGTACATGGGCACAGGTGAGTGCCTGGGCTTTCAATAGCCACAGCACCGTATCAATAGCCAGAGGCTGAAACTGAACACTGTTAGAGTCCACATCATCAGGAGGAATGATGCAGGTTGTGATATAAAATGATCGACAGTCTCAAGGTGAAACTGTGGTTTGTGTGTTCATCTACAATAAAATTATGGAGAGGGCTTACTGGCCAGGCATAGCTTTATTCCATATGAAGAATATAACCCATGACGACACTCATGGAAAATCTAGGGGAGTTTACTTGGCGTGGTATAAGTCATTTGAAAGAAATTGTTTTTAGGAAATCCAACTTGCCCAATGTAAGATACAGAAATTTCTAGGTATCTGTGGCCCAAGGTTGGGGAAAACACTGGGGACCAATGAAAATGGACAAAGGAGAAACTGTCTACGTATCAGCAGAAAGCTTAATAAAGTGAGTTATGTAAATGTACAGACAAGTTGAATACAAACAAATGGAAATTCCAGGAAATAAATAGAAGGAGCAGAAATTTGCTTCCACCGTCTGATCCAGGAACAGCAGTTCTTGGCTCTGAAGCTTTGAGCCCTGCAATCACGGGCACTTCTTCAGCCCCACAATGATTAGACCTTACATCGCTGGAACCCCAACGATTCTCTTCAGAGCCCTCTTTATGTCTCTGTTCCTCAGGCTGTAGATGAAGGGGTTCAGCACGGGCGTGACCACCGTGCACATCATCGAGGCTGTGGCACTTGAGAGTGAGCTCTGGGTAGCAGCAGAGCTGAGGTACACTCTGAGGCCCGTACAAAAAAATAAGGAGACAACCAAGAGGTGAGACACACAGGTAGAAAACACTTTATACTTGCTCTGAGCTGATGAGATTCCAGGTATGCAGGAAACTATCTTAGAGTAAGAGTAAAGGACCCCAGCAAAAGGACCACCAGCCAAGAGGACAGCTGCAAAATACATCACCAAATTATTAAGAAAGGTATCAGAACAGGCAAGTTGGATCATCTGATTGAGTTCACAGAAAAAGTGGGGGATTTCCCAGGCTGTACAGAAGGACAGCCACAACACCATTAAGGTTTGTAACAAGGAATGCAGGACAGTCATGATCCAGGACACCAGAACCAGCAGTCCACAGAGCCGGGGGTTCATGATGATCGTGTCCTGCAGGGGGTGACAGATGGCCACAAACCTGTCATAAGCCATCACACTCAGGAGGAAGACATCCATCACAGCAAAGAGTATGAAAAAATAAATCTGGGTGATGTAGTCCTCATAGGTTATGACTTTGCTCTGGGTCCGGATGTTCCAGAGCATCTTCGGGATGGTGGTGGAGGTGAAGCAGATGTCTACAAAGGACAGGTTGGCCAGGAAGAAGTACATGGGGGTGTGGAGGTGGGAGTCAGAGCCGACAACCAGGATGATGAGCAGATTTCCAAAGACAGTGATCAGGTACATGGAGAGGAAAAGCCCAAATGTGAGGGGCTGCAGCTCTGGTCCCTTTGAAAATCCCAGAAGGTAAAACTCTGAAATTTGTGTACCGTTTCTCGGTTCCATGTGCTGGAGGGGACTTCCGGGAAAGAGGGGAATAACACGACTAATTTTCACACAAGCTTGCACTACTCCCAGATCTGAAATGCTGCGCTTTATGTTTTGTACTCCAGAAATTTATTTTAATATTTTGTGTAGGTATACAACCCTCTTTAGAGGATTCCCCCGTGTCATCTTAGTTATTCGTTTTTTTCTTCCAACACTTTTTTCTAATGGGTCATGGATCCTACAGTTTTAGTGAGAAATCCCTCCAAATTTCAGGAATATAAATTGAGTGCTGACCATGTTTTAAGCATGGTCTAGGCAAGGAGTAGAGTGTGCTGAAGAACAAAAGTCAATTCAATGATGGAGCAAATAATAAAAATAAATAAAATAAACAGCATTTCATATAGTGTCAGGTGGTATGAAGGACAGAGTGATAAGGATTTTATTTTCATTAGTATTTAGGGAAATTCTAAGGTGACATTGGAACACAGACATCATGTAAGACAGAAAGGTAGATGCAGGATTATAGGGGAAGCGTGTGCCAGCAGAGGGAATGGCCAGTGCAAAGGCCCTGAGGAAGGTACTTGTTTCAAATGTTCAAGTGAAAAAGCAAAGCCAGCGCTGCAAGGGGAATGATCTTGAGGGGCAGTGATGACAGACTCTGTCACACATGTAAGGAGGGATGTGGCCTCTCTGTGACAGCTGTGACCTCCAGGCACAGGGCCATCCTTGGCCACACTGCCCCTCCCTCGGTATTCATCGTGCTGCAAAGCCATCCCATGAATTGACACAGATCCCCATCTTGGTGCCTGCTCTTGACTGAGTTCTGGCCCGTGTATGGTGTCACCTTGGGATTGAGGAGTCCTGGCCCCTGTTGTGAGGACTGCTCACCCTCTACAAGTCACACACGCACAAGACACCATGGTCTTCTGGGTTGTGAATTTCCCTGTCCTCACAGCCCCCACATTCCCGGTTATGCTGGGAATGGATACAACCCAAGGAGACCCGATCAGCCATCTTTCCCCTGCAAAGTGTAGAAATGGTTCCCAGAAATGCTAATTCTTAAGCCTCCCATGGACAAATGAAGTTGAAGATCCATATTGGGATGGGAATTTTCTGCTGTGATTTACACAAACATAAAAAAGCCTCTTCAGTAAACAGAGACAGAGAGTGAGAGAGAGCGGGGAATGAAATGGACCAAGAGGAGCAAGGATCTCACAAGACCAGGTGGTCCCTGAGAGACTAAGAGAAAGAACAAGCCATTGCTTTAAAAGCAATTTAATTATAAAGAAGATGAAAGACCATCAAAGTGTGAGCAGCAGTCATTCTGTGAAACTAAGAGAGCCACTGAATAAATACATTAATTACTTAATCAAGTGAATAAATTCACACAGTGATCACTGCTCTGGACTAAGTTAGGTTGGCTCTCAAGTGATGACAGGTCAACATACGGCTTCCATTCCCTCTGACACTCTCGTCCACGACCCACCGCGGTACTGAACTCACCTGGCTGGGGCGTGTGATGAAAAGGTCTCCTTGTGGAAATCTGATTTCCTCCCTGGATGGCAGATAATAGGGACAAAAGCTCTGTCTTCAGCCAAGACAGCAGGAAGGAGGGAAGCGTCAGCCCCCAGCCAGAATTAGGACTCAGAGCAAACAGACAAAGACCATGCCCCTTCCCATCCAAGGTCGCACAGGCTGACAGACAGGAGACCGGCCTTATATATAACTCCCTGTATCTGCTCATTAGACACATTTTCCCTCTTCTAACTCCAGCATGGCTCCAAGTGGAAAATTCTTTTGTGCCCAAAGAAAATTTCTCTAAGGAACCTGTTCCCAAGAGACTCCTTTAGAAGTAGTGAATCCAGGTGGATTTTTTTTACTCCTTTTCTTTGAACTTGCCTCCTTCCTGATAATCTCCTAGCACCTTATCTCAGCTCCCAGTTATAGTTTCCTCCAGATCTAAGACTGAGGAACCCGCTGGGGCTAGGTCTCTTTATCTTCAAGGCACTGACTTGTGGTGGGGACCCAGCGATCTCCAGACATGTTTATTCTTCTTTTAAATGAGGTGGAGAACTTGGTTCTTCTGATAATAAACCTTGGGCACTACGCACACTGGGTTCAAGATACATTTGCCATTACAGTTAGGAATTTCTTACTTTATCTCAAGCTAAAAGCTGTCCCTCGGTCCCACTTACAAAGTGTTTGTTAATTATAAGATATATTCTTAGGTCTTTGTATGTGCTATCACCTGTACTGAGCACCTTATGGGGATTATTTGATTCAGTTTTCTGTAAACATGTTATCCCTGAGGAGCAACATTTCTGAACTCCCTTCTCCATGCAGGAATAGCGCTTGGTGGCATCTAGCGATCTGCCCGAAGTCGTTGCTCAAGTACACGATGGGCCATGAGTGTGATTCTGTCAGGATGCTTCTAGTTCTCAAGCTTGGGGACAGTGGTTCTCAACCAGAAATGAATTTTCCCCTGGGCATGGCTGGTAATGCCTGATGCTCTCAACACCTATGTCCATAAGAAAACACCCTCCACAAATAGAATTATGCTGTTCTAGACCAACACTTTTCCAACTTCACCTTGTCTGCAAGGTGTCCATGATTCTACACGATCCCACTACAAATGCAGGAGCTGAATCACAAGTCCCGGTGGCCCAGAGATTCTGCCTTTAGAACAAGCTTCTAGGTGACATTGATGCATGAATCCTGGTCTATAGACCACTCTTTGATGAGCAAGCCTGGGATCCTGTGTTAGAGATAGGCATAGGAAGTTTTAGGTCTTCCACACCAAAGATCATCATTGCGTCTCATTTTGAGGGAATAATGTACCCACTCATTTTAGAGGCTGTGTAAATTGTGTTTGCTTCTTTCATATACAGATCCTTGGGTGACACAAATTAATACACTTCTGAAAACACTTTTTAGAAAGCAAAATTAGGGCCTCTCAAATATGTGCACACCCTAATCCCCAGGAACCTATCAACATGTTATTTTTTACAGCGAGGGAGAATTAAGGTGGCAGATTGAACAGGATTGCTAATCAACTTACAGTAAGATAGAAAGATTAGTGATAGTGGGAGAAATTGAAACCCTTGTGTACTGTTGGTGAAAATGTATATTGGTGAGGCCTCGTGGAATGAAATATTGATTAAAAATAGAACTAACATGATCCTCTAACTGCACTACTGGATATTCACCCAAAGAAAACATAAATATTAATAGGAAAAGATATATGCACCCCTGTGTTTTTTGCAGCATTATTTATAATAGCTGAGATATGCAAACAACCCCAGTGTCCATCAATAGATGAATGGATAAAGAGGATGTGGTATATAGTATACAATGGAGTATTATTCATTTACAAAAAAAGATTGAGATCATGTCATTTTCACAGATGGACCTAGAAGGTATAAGGCTAATTGACATAAGCCAGTCAGAAAGACAAATACCACATGATCTCACTGATAAGTAGAATTTAAAAAACAAAACAAAACAGAAAAAAAAAGAGACAAAAGAAACAGACTCTTGAAATATAGAGAATAAATGATGACTTCCTCAGAAGAGTTGTGCAGGGGGATGGGTGAGAAAGATAAAGGAGATTAAGGGGACACTTATCTTTTTTTTTTTTAATGAAGTCATAATAGTTTATTTCCGCTTTTGTCTCCCTTGCCTCAGGAGACACATCTAGAAAGAAGTTGCCAAGGCTGATGTCAAAGGACATTACTCTCTGGGTTCTCCTCTGTGATTTTGATGGTTTCCTGTCTCACTTATCGGTCTCTCATCAATTTTGAATTTACTTTTGCATGTGGTGTAAGAAAGTGGCCCAGTTTCATTCTTTAGCATGTTGCTGTCCAGTTTTCACAGCAACATTTGTTGAAGAGACTCTCTCATTCCCATTGCATTTTCTTTCCTGCTGTGTCAAAGACTGACCACAGGTTGTGGGTCTGTTTCTGGGTTTTCTATTCTGTCCCATTGTCTACGTGTCTGCTTTTGTGCCAGTACCATACTGTATTGATCACTACAGCTTTATAATATAACTTGAAGTCTGTAATTTTGGTGCCTCCAGCTGTGCTTTTCTTTTTCAAGGTCACTTTGGCCATTCGGGGTCTTTTGTAGTTCATCAACACAAGAAACAACAGGCATTGGTGAGGATGTGGGGAGAGGGGAACTCACTTGCATTGTTGGTGGGAATGCTAACTGTTGCAGTCACTGTGGAAAACAGTATGGAGAGCCCTCAAAAGAGTTATAAATAGAACTACCCTACGATCCAGCAATTACACTACTAGGTATTTACTCAAAGAATATACAAAAATACTAACTCAAAGGGATACATGCACCCCAGTGTTTTTAGCGGCATTAGCTACAATAGCCAAATTATGGAAGCAACACAAGTGTCCATCAACTGATGAATGGATAAAGAAGAGGTGTGTGTGTGTGTGCGTGTGTAATGTAATATTACTCAGGCATAGAAAAGAATGAAATTTTTCCATTTGCAATGACGTGGATGGAGCTAGAGAGGATAATACTAAGTGAAATAAGTCAGTCAGAGAAAGACAAATACCATATGATTTCACTCATATGTGGAGTTTTTTTATTTGAGAGAGAGAGAGAGAGAGAGAGAGAGAGCATGAGAGGTGGAGAGGGGCAAGGAAACAGAGCGGATCTTAAGCAGGCTCCACACTCAGCACAGCACCCAATGCAGGCTCAATCCCACAACCCTGGGATCATGACCTAAGCCTATAACAAGAGTTGGAAGGTCAAATGACTGAGTCACCCAGGTGCCCCTCATATGTGGAATTTAAGGAACAAAACAACGAGCAAAGGAAGAGAGAGAGAGAAAAAGAGAGAGAGAGGGGGGCAAACCAAGAAACAGACTCTTAATAATAGAGTACAATCTGATGGTTAACAGAGAGGAGGTAGGGGGAGATAGGAGATGGGGATTGAAGATTGCACTTGTTGGGATGAGCACCTGGTATTTTATGGAAGTGTTGAATCGCCAAATTGTACAC